GTGTTTATTTGTTTGTTTGAACGTAAATCGATGGGATTTGAACAGCATCTCAGGACTGAAAAGCTTGGCTGTGGCTGTTGCGTAGGTAGAGCGCCCTAGAAGTTGAAATTTAAGCTTCAGACCAGGGCGCGCGCCAATTGATCGCTTCTCTCGGCCTGTGACGGGCCTGCGATTGCAAGCTGCACTTAAGGATGCCCCACTTAGCAAGTGAAGAATGTCCTCAGTCAACCAGTTCTGAAACGCGAGGTCGCCATGAAAACCGACTCGGGTAGACGAAGGTTAGTAAGGGACACTGCCAACCATGAATGGGTGCAACCGCCTTTTTTAATTCCTTACATGATTATGGGTGGACATTGTTACCAGGTTTTGATTATGACTCACGTGAGTTATAGGTAGGGTGAGCCCTATGGACTGGGGACAGTAACCACTTACCAAGTGAGATGATCATCCAAGTGGAGGGGTTGTCACCAGCCTTTCCGGACGCCGGTCGGAATCTTCAATGTCCAGCTGCCTCTGAATCTTAAAGGAGAGCACCCTGCAACATGTTGGACATAAACTTGCAGTTGCTTCAGATTATTGTTTCTCTTCTCCGGGAAGCCCAACGAGGGTTGTCTGAACAAGATTATTGAAAGCCATAGTTTAGTCACGAAGATGGCTTGACAACGCCTGCACTTGGCTTCGGGCACGGAATTATCTTTTAGATCGTGTCCTGCACCTCGCGTTACGGCGGTGGAACCCCGAACCGCCTTGCTGTGGTTCCCATGGGCGCTTATAAAGCTGAAATGGAGGGCCAAGATCCCACGCTTGTGTTGTTCGGCTGTGATTTTTAAATGGGACATGGGGCGAACCCCCCGCCCCCCAAGGATCAGCAGTTTGATTGTGTCATGAAATCCCCTGGTTGAATAATAGGGAGGCGTCCCCTTAGTGGGGATTCAGACCACTTTTGGAGGGAGCACCCGGGTCAACATTTTACTTCCATTTGCTTAAGAATATGTTTTATTTCCTCTGTTGGTTTGAAAAGGAATCTATCACTACTGGAGATATTTTCTCGTTTTTTTTCCAGGGGTCTTAACCAAATGGAAGTTTACAATCCATGTTTATGGCCCCTCACGACAGCCGCATGAGCGGTCTTAGCCAAAGGCTGAAGCATTGGCTCTGCTGCACTGAAAAAGGTGGCATGAAGCAGAAGACGATTTTTGCGCAATGCGCTGCTTGTAGGTCCCCCAGTAGTAACCCTTTTTTGGGGGAGGATCCCCTTCTGAAATAGAGTGCGGGAAAAGTGCAGTGCAGAAAGTTGGATTCCCATGTCTTAGGCGGCAACATGCAAAACAGAGTCCAAAGAAGGTCGAGTCGTTCGTTTCTTTGCCACCAGAGATTGTGAGGTGAGAGTGGTGAACGGTTATGCCACGAATTGGACAAGCCGGCACCCTCCATAAGGCTGATGCCGACTCCAAAAGGAGGAGGGGTTATATCTTTCACACTTCCTAGGGAACCTTGGGTGGATGTGGGGAGCAGCCTTCTGAGAAAACAAAACCCATGCGCCCGAAATACACATGAACAGCGCTCAACACCCCAGTGGGGCATTTTGGGGTAGATGGGTCTGCCCTGCTTTATGGCTATTTGGTTGGATCTTTGGACTTTGATTTTTAGGCTGAAACGGTGGATTTGCCATTGGACACACGAAAAAGTCCTCGTTTTGCAGAGGGGTCAACGGCAACCAAGCCTAGCTAGACCCTTTTATCAGTTTGGGGTTGCACAACCTCGGTAAAGCCGTTGAGGCCTGAATCGCCTAGGTTTCTTTCGCAAGGCATGGGAATTCGGTCTGTCGATCTGACCGAATCGCCCTGATGGGTTGCAAGGCAACATTTGGGAGGGTATTGAGCGGAAGATATCACCTTGTGGGACCCGTTGGTTTGCATCAAAAACTTGGCAGGATCGAGACCGCCGTTTTGCTGCCCACCGGGTTCAAAGGGTGAGCCTTTCTTTTGGCTCCTTGGTGCCAAAACGGACTTCCCCCCCAAATTCCATCAAGACCCTTGACACTGCTCCAGCGACCTGCAATTCGCGCAGGGCGAGTGCTGGGTGTCAACGTCAGAGGACTGAAACCTGACCAGACTCGATTGTCAGCCCCAGGGGACAGCATATGCAGAAAATATGCCTTGGGGTGAAACCCGATGTGGAGACTGTTCGATAAACCACCCATTCCAACTTGTGTAAAGCGGTTCTTGCCCATCCAACGTACATACCTGGCGTTTAGACTTCAGAGTTTGGAGGGGCTCATGGCATACATTTGTCTTGACAAAAAAAAAAAGATTGGCCCCAAAGGGATGTTTAAACAAACAACATGCCTCATGGTGACATCTGCATCAAGTGCCCAATCGTGGGCGACAAAGCTCTGCCTTGGGCTTGAACAAGCATGTTAAGGGAATCGTGATCCGGAGAGGTAGTGTACGCGTTTTTCTGCCAAACTTGGTGGTTCCCAGCCATCCGGTTCCTTAGCTGTTTAGCCTTTTAGTGTTTCGTGGGGATTTCCATTTAACCCACTGCAAGTTAGCCACTTTTAGCGGGGGATCTGAGGACAGCCCAGGAAAGGCAACTTATCAATGCACTGGTGGACAATATCCGCTTCGCGTACATGCTGCCCGCCCAAGGGTCCGTTTCCAAATTGAGGCTTCCCATGTGGATGCTGCGCATCTCACCTGGAACCTCAAGCTGTGAATTGGAAATCACATATATATTTCGTTTTGGGAGTCGATTTTTGGGTGAGTTGATTTTTGGGTGTACCCACTTGGGGAGTTGGGTTCGCTAGTCGTGGACGTTGTCCAGCACACTTCAGGATGTAGGCCTTTGGCTTGGGAAGACTTACTTCAGGTTCAACTTCTCATCAAACTGTCACATGGGCCGAGGTATATGTTTTTTGCTAGCACTCGCACACCCCGAGAAAGGCGGTGGAGAATGCGGTGGCTGCGGCCTTTTCAGTCCCCTTTTTCACAGCAAACATAGCTCATAGCGCTCATAGCGCTCATAGCTTTGCTGCCTTGACGCGTGGCAGCGTGAGCCGCCGGGGCCTGAAGGTTTGTGAGCGGTATTTGTTTGGATTGCCGGGTATGGGCTTAGTGAGCCATGGATACGAAGGGGCGTGAAGGGGGCCCTACGGCGACACAAATAACTGGGGCTTTTCTCTTCCAGCTAAAGGCCCATCAAGGCCCAAATGCTTGACTCAATAAGCGGACGTGACAAAATAGAGAATGAAATCACATGTGAGCTCCCCTTTGCGACACAGGGAAAAACGCTTTCTTGGTGTCTTTGTTCTGAGGGAACCCCTTGTCTGGTTGGTTTGAAGGGAAACTGACGGGAAAAAGACGGTCTTCGTTTGGGGTCCCCTATTTGCAGGCGCACCCTTCTGGTTGTGTGATTCACGTCAATTCCAAAGAGCTAGGAGGTATCCTTCTACAAACATCGCCAACCAGCAAAGAGTGCTTGGGACCAACCTGCATTCAAAAAAATGGCCCCACAATTTCACAATGAGGGTACAATTTGGGTTGTAAGGGAAGCCCAGAGTAAAGCGACTCATTTTTGGGGCTCCCCAATCCGAGGACCCCAAATAGATTAACCTGTCGCATGTGAGCAACTAACAAAATGATTGGAAGATCATTGCTCGTTTAGGGAGGACGTGAGGGGGAGGGGCCCACCCAAATTTCGCAGTAATATACCGACAACCCCCTCCTCTGTTTTCCCATAATTTAAATCATGATCCCCCGATGATAATGAGGAAAACCGGTTTATTCCTACCCCGCAATCCAATTTCACGATTCAGGACGCTTGTTTCCCAGCAACAGCCACGGATCCCAGCCACTTGTGGGTAATAGGCCATTTTCTCTTTCTCTTCTGCCCCTTAACAAAGGGATGGTGTCAAAAGAAAGGGGTGATGGCAGCCCGTTTTTCCGGGGTCAGGAGACAGACGCCTGGTCCCAAAACCACGGGAAATGGAATCCATGGGCTTCCGAGCCCGCGAAAAAGACGAGGAGCCGCGCGTGCTCAAGGCGCCGCTGGCGCGGCTGCGGCCGGCCTTCGGTGAGAAGTCGCCACAGCCCGGGCAACCCGGGCGTTTTGGCCACCCGGGCGTTTGGGCAATTTCAGGATTCTGGGGATTCCTGAAAGGACGCCAGAGGGATTCCCTTGAGAACCACAAGAATGGAGTACCCAACCACAAGAACAAAAAAAGATTTGATTAAAACCCAATGCGGTGAACGCAAACCTAGGTCCGCCAGCTAGGTGCCATTGTACCAACTTTTTTGGTTGGGAGGGTTCCCCTAAAATTGACCACAGAAAAAGAATGGTACACCTATTCTAACCTCTGTACCTAGAATTTCAGGCTTGTGCGGATCGCGCGAGGCTTATCCCCATTGTGATGTCTTCGGGAATCCGCTCTTTTTTCTTTCGGGGGGGCCAGTCTTTGGGAGGCCAACCTCACCAGGTGCTTGGTTTTCTTTTGGCGCCTCTTTCAAGCCCGCCAAGAAAGCTGATCAATTTGGAGAAAGACCCAAATCGTGGCTTGCAGGGACACCACGCGCAGTTTTGAGAACCACTCAAAATATTCACTTACCGCACTGACCGATCCGAGTAAAAGGTGGGAAAACACATGGTGACATGCCCTGACAGTTTGCCCAGCTCAAGCAATGAGACCCTGGTTCCTCTTCTAGGTCCCCGGTAGTTCCCTTTTGCCCTTTTTTGAGGGAGGGTTCCCCTACTACAATAGAATACAGAAAAAAGTTGGTACCCTTATTCTATCCTCTCTACTGGAGAACCTAGTCTTAAAATGGAAGCTCGAAGAAGGATAAAGAAGGCATGTTGGCTTTTGAGCTCCGCGGCGGCGTCCATGCCGCCTCGAGAAAGAGAACCCCTCAACGGTTGAGGGGTTGATGAGTCTCGTGCTGAAGCACTTGATCCACTGAACAACCGGGTGACTGGTTGGGGGCTGGGCGAAAATGGCAGGGCGA